GCATACACTAAAATACGGTCAGCATGGTGCTACTGTCGGAGTACACGTACGATCAAGGGGAATGAACCACGACATTTTGAGTTTGTACAGACCGATGTTGGATGTAGCACCCGAATGCTCGACTACTAAATACTGACATGTCAAATATATAATTGTCTTGTATGTAGAGTGATCAGTATAGAGTTGGAAGACTTGATGTATTGATTTAAAGGGCACTAAACATTTTAACGAGTGCATTGTCGCGAGACGCACGGATCTTATGTCCGCATAAGCATCTCAATCTTTCGTGTATTCAGTAGTTTTCAGCCGACGTGCGTCGCACCTAATTGTATGGTGTCTCTAAACAGCACATTACATGGCTTTAGAAAGCCCTGAGCATGAAAGTTTACGACCGGGCTGTAAGCCAAACATCTTTCACAGCGAGTCGCTCTTCTCAGGACCAAATTTTATCGACTCTGCCCCACAAGGTGCAATAGAGCTCAGCTGATTCATTTCTAGTTTTTTTGCCGTGTCTATTAGGACTCATCATTTTTATGCGTGGAGGTCGGTCGGTCAAGACTGCGAGACAGCTCGAAATACAGAGTGATATGAAAACACGCTCATTCGCCGCTTAGATTTGGCGCAGTTATATCGCTCATCGCTGTAGCCTTTCGGCATTATTTTTTTTGCCATCACGGTTTTTGCATGTCAATATCATGTTGTGACCCAAATGTTATTTGCCCAATAAATGCGTGGATTTTTATAAATCATCCTCGCAATTACGACATGACGCTCATAAATTAGTCTAATCATTTCAAGTTGGCGACTATACTCCACAGGAGATTGACGTCAACGGCATGGACATGCTGGGTATGCTGCTGGGGCTGTTAATACTCTTTGTAGGCTTTGCAATAGCACTTTTTGGCAGTGCCAGGCTGCGCAAGGGTTTCTTTATCTGGTTCTCATACGCTACTATCACGGGCTGGTACTACTTTCGTGTGCTGCAGAAGAAGTACACAAACACCAGTAACAAGGCGGGAGAGGAGTCTGTACGCGTGTCGTCGCCCAACGGCGCTGGGGCTCGTGGAAAGGCCAAAACGACGTCGTTGCCGCGACCTATCGACGGCAAGCGCGATACCGGCCTTGTTTACTTCGAGCCGCGTGATATGATTGAACAACGGCAGCAGGCGCGGCCGGACTCGCTAGAGCACAGCGGTGTTTCCGATCGCTCGAGTCGCACAAGCGACGCTGGATCGAGTGCTAGTTCGGATGGCGGAACGACTGCGAGCAAGCGCAAAAGACGTCTTTTTCGCAGCCGTCGTAAGGATGCAGCCGAAGAGGCTGTGCGTCGCGTGAGCGATACAAGCTCCATTGGCTTGCTTACCGTGTCGGGCGTGTCTGACTTTAATGGTTCCGTTACGCCGATTCGCAGTAACGGCACTAGACGGACGTATACAGGGCGAAAGAAGCCGCCATCATGGGCGGATTGATTCGAAGGCAAACGTACTAGATGTTGGCGGGGCATCCGCATGACTGCACAATGATCCTACAAAAGTGTTACCATTTTAATAAATGTCTGAAGAAAACTACATGATACCGGTAATATACCAGCTTTATTGTATCAGAAATCGTCCCTGTTCAATTCATATTGTGGTCCCTCTCCAGTATGTTCGGGTTCAATGTGAACAAGCTCAAGCCTAACCTTAAGATGGCAGTACACCGCATTGGTATCGTCAAGAACAAGAAATCCAATGTTGCACTAGCTCAGCGGCGGGAAGTTGCACAGCTTCTTGCTGATGGCAAGGAGGAGAAGGCGCGCATTCGGGTGGGCAACAAACATAATGGTGGGACCGTATGCATCATATACATATATTTTCTTGTAGGTGGAGGGCATCATTCGCGATGACTTTACAATAGAAGGTTACGAGGTTCTGGAGCTATTGTGCGAACTATTAGCGGAGCGAGCGGTACGGAATTGCCCTTAGCTTCCGACTCTTTCTAATCTGATGTTGTAACTTGCAGAATTTGATCAAAACTGAAGCTGACTGTCCGCACGATATGCGTGAGGCTGTGTGCACCCTCATATGGTCGGCAAGTCGCACAGAAATCCCGGAACTGGCCGAAGTTAAAAAGCAGTTTATTAAAAAGTACGGACACGATTTTGAGGCTGCTGCGATTCGCAACATTGGCGGCTGTGTCAACGAACGTGTGGTCCAGAAACTTAGCGTGCAGCCACCAAGCGCATATCTCGTGATTAATTATATGAAGGAAATTGCGAAAGAATTTAAGGTTGATTGGGTACCGGAAGAGGTACCGGACCCGTTTGCACCGATTCCACCACCAACCGGTGTGACTGTCATGAAAGCAGCTGTCTCCGGGCCTGACTTTGCTGCACTTTACACATCAGTATGTGGACTTCTGGATGCAGATCTAATTTATATCGTATCCTGAAGTGTCTGTTATGCAAATAGGCCTCGCCATCTTATATGCCCTCTCTTTCTTCCAGCAAACGTATTGAGGAAACGGTTGGTTCTGCACCTGTGGATGCTTCTCTATCTAGGCGAAGTGTGAATACCTATACCAACCAGCCAGCTCATTATTACACCCAGCCGTTCTCTTTGGCACATAACGATGAATATCCTTTGCAGACAACGTCGCTGGCATCGTATACCGAAGATTCAGCTGCAGCCTCGACAACAACTGCTGCTGCATCAATTTCGTCTTCAACGCCAGCGACGGGTGTCAATGACTCTACGCCAGATTCTCTATCTAGGCGAAGTGTGAATACCTATACCAACCAGCCAGCTCATTATTTCACCCAGCCTTTCACTTCAGCACATAATGATGAATATTCTTTGCAGACAACATCGCTGGCAGCCTCGTCGTGTAACGAAGATTCCACTGCAGCCTCGACAACAATTGCTGCTGCATCAATTTCGTCTTCAACGCCAGCGACGGGTGTCAATGACTCAACCCCAGATTTCGATGAACTTACTGCACGCTTTGAAAGGCTTCGTAAGCGCCAAGATCGGGACGACCAAAATAATACATCATTTACATTTTGATGGCACGCTGTTATGAAATTCGTAAGGGCCGTAATAGTGTTCATACATCGTTGTTTGTTCATTTATCCTCAGTGTATCCGTATAGTATAGTGAATATATCACGTATCGCAGGTTAGGCCAAGTGTCGTTTAAAGATACCGCTACAATGGGGGACACGCTCGAGACGCTGATCGCGAGTACACAAGAGACTCTGCAGCCATTAGTTGCCAAGCCTAAGTTGACCGAAAAGCTCCTGGCCAAGGCACCCTTCCGTTTTCTGCACGATGTTTTCACGGCCGTGATGCAGAGCACAGGGTTCGCAATGGGACTGTACAATGACTTTGAATTAAGCTCAGCCAACCTAACAGACAAGCTGCAAAAGACGGCTTTTTTGGACAAAATGATCATTTGTGTTGGCCAATGCCTTGGCAAGGACATGAGTGTGCGCTCATCCAAGATTGTGGCTGGCCTCGAGCCGGAAAACACCAATTTGTTGCTCCAAGGTCTCGCACAGGCCGCAAAGGACAAGTCGCTTGACTGGAATAAGGCTGTACAAATCACACTTACCAAGGTCGTATCAATTACAGCAGAAGGTGAAGTGGCCCCTAGAACTGCAATGTCTGCAGTGGAAGCCGTTTTGCGTCCAAGCTCGACGAATCGCGACGGATCCGCTGAAGCCAAGAAAAAGGAAAAGGTTTTGTGTTCTCTGTAACTTAAGGGAAAGTTGGTCTAATCGCTCTGTGCAAGTTTAGGATCGACGAGAGAGTGACAACGCAAAGCCGATGGGAAATACTGAGGAACTGCCACGAAATGCGGAGAGCAAAGGAGAAGCACAGGCACCGCTGGCGTCTTCGAAACGGTCAGCACCTGAGACGACTCGTGCAGCACCAAGCCGTAGCAATAGTAGCAAAAACAATATTAATGATGACTTACTACTTCAAAGTATTGTCGACTGTAATGGTGACATTGAGCGTACAAAAACTCTTGTGGAGCAAGTAATCACGAGGCCTAAGATGTCGTCAAAGCTGTTGGGCAAGCCACCGTTTCGCTTTCTGCATGACATTATATCCGAAGTGACTCGTGTAACTGGTTTTGCCGATGGACTGTTTTTGGGTGATGAACTCGACTCAGGTGCTATCAAAGAGAAGGGACCGAAGATGGATTATCTCACAAAAATTACACAGTGTGTTGGCCTTCACCTTAACGTTGAAATAGAAGCCAGACCGGCTAAGATTATCGCAGGATTAGAGGCTGAGGCCACATGCAAATTTTTGCAGCTACTGACAGTTGCATGTAAAGCAGGCAGCTCAAAAGAATCCGTGCAACGTGTGTTGGCTGGTGACATCGCTCTACGGACTAGTAACGTTTATGGAAGTAAGCCTGCTAGTCGTGAGCATGCTTCTGATAATAAGCAAACGTCCCATTTAAGTACCCCACCAGAGAGAAAGGTACATGCAAAGCCCGTAAGTAAACCAAAAGACGTACAACATGGAAGCTTTTCAGGTCCAACGAAGCCCTTGACAGTGATTAAAAGCAGCGAAGATGATATTGACGATGAAAGAAATAACGAACCTTTGCGATTCGATGCCCCGGAAGCAAAGATTGATGAAGGGCAATCTTCAGATGTCCACCTGGACATAAATAATTTGGGAATGAGTCGCACTTCACGGCCAACAACTGCACGGCGTCGCCCGCCAAAGCTAAAAGAAAATGTTACTGAAGTGGGGCGACTGATGGTGTCCGATGCTAGAGCTGCTTCTGTAACAGGTATCATGAAGGATGGAGAAAATAATGACACCGACAGCGAAGATGAGGCTACTAGTGCAGCCGCAGGAAATGACAATACATTTAACCAACCTCATCTGGGGCCAAAACCTGGAGATGCTGATGCTCATGGACGTTTAGTGCGCGACATTCTAAAAAATCAAGGCGCTGAAGAAGCTGCGAGACGTGCAAAAGAAGTTGAAGATACGACTCCTAGCGAGGTCGAAACTGGCATTCGACTTGGACGTCGAAACAAGTCGTTCAAACCGGAGCACATGAAGAGCTCAAATGCTGTAGCGGCATCGTCGCTGACTGAAATGAATGCCTTACGTGCCGATATCCAGCGACTGTGTCAAGCGGCCAATCCAGTTGGCAAAAGTATTGAGTTTGTGCATGAAGATTTAAATGCCATGTCCAAAGAGCTCGAGTTTTGGCGCAAAGAATACGCTCGCAAATGCGATGCATTGGCAGATGAACAAAAACGGACAGAAGACGCGTTACAGCCTTTGAAGGTGCAGCTTCGAGAAGTCGAAGAACAAGTCAAGGAGAAGGTTCACAAAATTAACACACTCAAAGCTGTCATTGCTAAGAATGAGGTGAAAACTCAAAAATTGCTACGTATGGTTGTCTCAGCTTGAGCCAACGTCACAAAAATTGAGATACTGTTCGCGCCAAACTCCAAGGCAATGAGCAAAACTTTTACATTTTCCACCATTGTTTTTAATATATAGTTTGCACAACGTCAACGACTAATTTCAAAGAACATCGGCCAGTAGGCATCAAAATTCTCGATAAACTTTGGTCACTTACGTCAAAGGCCAAGCCTTATATTTAGTTTGCTTTCTCGCGACTGTTATCAGATTTAACACATAATTAGCTGCGAAAATTGGCAGATTTGTGACCCCAGGCGACCGTATGAGCTCTATCACCCTACCTCGATGATAGAGGAGGCTAGCATCATTCGTAATGTTGATGTTCTAATAATAATTGTCACGGTCTAAACAGCAAAAGCAGCGTTCAATCATACGGTAATTGCGCTTGGCTAATCATGTGATTAGGAAAATCCAAAAATGATTCTTTTCTGGGTTGGTTTGCTGACTTGAGATGACTGGTAATAAGTAAGGTGGTGGGGTAAATGCAGCGGGACTGTCGTAGCTCTTTGCTTAGAGGAAGCCGAGTTAAGGTCACCGACCTTATGTTCTATACAAGAACTAGTACAAGTGTAGCGGATCGCAATCCGCAACCTGTTAGTACTTAAAACCTTAACCAAGGTAAAGACGATCTTCCCGTTCAAATTGAATCTGTATTTAACTGTTTCAGTTGCGGCAGAGCCGCAAATATCTTAAACTCTAAATTTTCTAATTAATATAGTAAAACCTAATTAATATGCCCGCAACGGCATAGCGCTACATACCCAGAACACAGCACACTCTGCACAAAAAAAGCTTCGAGTCTTAGATTTTGCTCTAGCAAACGCACAGAGGTTAGATTTTTACAGATTCGAAAGCATCTACCGAAACCAGGTATTTCCATTGATCTCTGCAAGATAAGAGTACATATATAGCGCTGCTATGAGAATTACATACTATATGTGTTTTACGAACTCGTACAATAGAGTCGACTTCATTTCTGACGCGCGGCTAGCAGCTTACTTATACCATGGACCCCTCCTATTCGGCACATTAACATTTTATAGATACCAACTTTATTTGTGAATACTCACAATTACACCAAAGTGCAATGTGAATTGCGTACAAGTGTACAGTATTAATTGAGGACCTCATCTAATAAGATGTGAACCACACTGAAATTTCAAAATATTTTGTCGTTCAAGACGCTGTGCAAACGTGACCGCTTCTTAAGCGCCTACAGTTTAACTCCATTCCCTGCATTTAACCGTGTTTAATCTTATGCGCATAGTTGCACCAAAAGATCGCCCCTGCTTTCCAAAGTTAAGGGCTCAACGATCACCCGCAAAGGAGAGTCTTCACGATCAACATCAACAGGAAAATCCTCGGTATGGATACCGAGCTTTTTAATGTCAAGAATGGTTGTAGTGACTCCCCGAGTCATGTCCCAGCGCCACCACCCTCACCCGGCGACATTTGGCATAACCTTTCCTCGAAGAGTAGACAGTCTCTGCGCTTAGCGTGCCCGCTGCACGAGCCTGCGACTAAGCGCCCTTCTTTATCGGCGGAAAGATGTGATAGTATCTGCCGGCGGTGTCTAGCTTGTTTCACTGCAAGTCCGAGGGTCAAGACGACTCTTACTCAGCTAATCACGCTGTAATTACGGGCTTAAACCATCTAAAGTTGCTCGCCGCGACGTTTTAGACGTTTTATACGCAAATGGGTATGGGTCATCTACTCAAATCAAGAGCAATATAAGCGGAAGAATGTCACTTGGCAGGCACCTTCGGAACCCTAGGTCAATAATTCTCAGGAATGTCTGCTGTGAGCAGAAGCAATTAGAATGACTCAAAGGTTTATTCGGCATAGTATGATTATCAATTTTACATCTTCTGTGGGGAATGTGGTCCCGACCGTTGTGCACTGATACGAAAGGCCTCTGTAGATCACAAACCAATACTAGCAATGAAGGCGCAGTCTTAGCTTGACAAGGGCAGACTTCATCGCCGAAGCTTCGTGTTAAGAAAAGAGAAGTTTCTTTCTGCAGCTTTCAGCTGGCAATTTCAAACGTAATCAGGCGCCCAAGCGCAAGGGGCCTGTCTGAGTGAAGCGCGGCTTATTGTAAAATACCAGAGTGTCAAAGATAACACGAGGTGATTAACCTGAATTTAAAAAAATCAGAACTGCGACACGAGTGTTGATTTTTTCATTATTTATGCGACCACCCAATCTGCCGCACAAAGTACCGTTTGTTACCCTCTTTAAAATAGTTTGTGATGAGTCGCCCGATGTCGCCAAAGTCGCATTGTACTTACGCAAGTACTTGGGCAAGCTACTTCGTCAAGTCCTTTTGGGACAAAAGAAAACGCCTAGCTTCTATCACATTTATTTTTGCGGAATCTACCCGCATGACACATTTGTCAATGGAAACACACATAAACATGTTGTCAGCAAGACACACTTGTCTTGTATTCAAGTTTTTATACTCCATTACTGTTCGTTAGTATTTATTGTGGTACTCCACATTTAACTATTCGTAATCTGTACGACTTTGGATGTATATATTGTCAAAATAGGCTTGTGCAGAGCCATGATGCTGCCTGAACAGCTGCGTCACCAGAGGCCCGAGCGAAAATGGTGCGCTGGATTATTTCTGTGGTATAAGCAGCCACTTCCGAAGCATCGCTCAATGCGACGAGAGGGATATAACTGTCTCACATAAGCGGTTGATGGGTACATTGACCATATCAAGGACACTGAATAACGTCATGCCGACGATGTTGTTTGGCGGCGTATCAGTGCAAATAATCGAAGTTTTCACCGGAAGAGTGGCTGCAATTAGAAGCATGCTCATCTCTCTACTTTCCGCTTCCTCTCTGACACAAAACGTTGCCCCCCAGCGTCAAGGGTTTACATTTTTAGCAAAAATACTTTGTGCTTACGCGGCAGAAAGCGTCAATGACACCATTATCTTTCTTGATAAGGAACATTGCGGTGTAACGCACCGAAATAGTTCCGGACCAGAGCTCCGGATAGCATATGTGACGGGTATCTCGGTACCTAGCGTGATATTCCTTGGTTAAGGAATAAAACTGAGTTATGGGTTGCTTGAGGATAGGTGTACTACCACTTTTTTTGCTACGTGGGTGTCCCGAAAGGTCCGTTTAAAACGGATGATACGTTCAGCACATCCCTGCGGCACACTCTGTATCATTTCTATGAACTCACCAACTGGCATATTCTTTCACAAATCCCCTGATGAAAACATTACAGCTCTATAATAGCTATTGCCGGATGTAGTGAGGAAAAGCTTACAGCTCCTAAGACTACACTGGTATTTATATTCAAGTGTAAATAATCATAAATTATTGCCACTTACCCGTGGGGCGTCATTGCTTCGCACGATAGAGCTGCCACCGTAAGTGCTAACCCGTCAGAACTACAACACCGTGGGAAATATACACCACACTCTTATATTTAGAAACTAGCCTTTTTCGTCGCGACCCACAATAGCATTTCAACCCCACCAGTCCTTGCACGAAATATTGCAACACCCAGTCGCTTATATTACTGACAAAGGGTACACAGCCCGCAGCTATTCTGGACAAATTCGCCGGCGATACACTCTAGGGACAACGTCATACAGTCCTATCGAAAGATATTCACTCTAAAGATTGCGAAATCATCCTCTTTCATGTTCCACACTCACACCTTGGTCAATACCGCATCTGACTTCGAAAGACTATTTGCGGTACCGTTGATATCAAATTCGAACAATTTATGCTCAGCATTTGAGCTATGGTAGCTTTGTGCCCGCGCCAAAATAGCTTAACTTTACTAAAAAAGGTGGGTTTATGACTCTTCAATGCTCGACAAGGAGATATATGTGCGACATTTTCACAACTTGACAGCCATCATGGCTCGTGGCATTTCAGCCACGTTATACCTAGGATATAAACATATTTTTTAATCCAGTATCAGGATGAGTTGGCGCTTCACGCTTCCACAGTCCTAAAACTTTACATAAAGAATTGACATGATCTTCCACATGCTCCCATTGTAATTTGCACGGATGTCACATTCACATTTGGTATTGTCACTGCCTCTGTGTGTTGTCGACTGTTTTCGACGGTTGTACGAAATTGCATGACGCTCTTGAAATTACCAGACGTATTCGCAGCTTCAGGGAGCCTGCAACGTTGAGTCCAACAACCGGCACTCCTGGGTTGTGAGCTCTACCTCTTCGAAAGAGAGTCTTAACAAAAAACACGAGACACGCATTGATATTATTCTTACCCAGTAGGGGCAAGGTGGCCTATTGGAATTCTAGTTTTTTTCGCAGGGTATCGTCGAATTACCCTGCCCTTGGAGAATCAAACCCTCCATACAATTGAGCTAAGAGCGAAGGGGGCACGCACGGCGTATGTATTTTGTGCATCTCAGATAAAACATCTGCGAATACAGCGTAGCTGCTTGACAGCCAAGCGTCTATCTCTTGCCCCTCATCATGGCTGAGATCCATAGCATCTGACGTGCTCATTGGATTCACCATAAGTCTTACCTAGCGCGACTTGGTTGTTGTGCACTTGTACACAACGAATGGTCGGTGATAAAACTTACGTTTTCTCTAAGCGCAGAGCTACGGCAGCCCCACTACATAGCAAATACATACGCGTTACTACTTTTGATTTTGTAATGAGGCTGACAGCCAGGGACATCTCCTTGGGGAATCCCCACCGCCTTTATTTACATCAATACTTAAGTAAGACTCAGCTTTCAGCGCTGTGGTTAACGAAAATTCTATAACCATTATTGAGTGTAAATTGGGAGTTGCTCAAGATGATGTGACGTTTGACACAACAACGTCTACGACACTCAGCATGTGAGAGCCAAGTGACAGTCGTCAGCAAATAGTGTGCGTGAAATGCAGGATTTTTATCAAACTGTACCTACCAAAATAACTCAAGGCGGAGCCATAAGCAAAATTTGGTGGATAGTTTATAGATTGTGGCTAATGGAATTCACAGCCACGACAAAAGCGCTCAGAAATAGGCCAAAACAGAAGCGGTTTTCAATAGTGCCAGAATCCTTCCCCAGCATTTTTTTTCAAAGCTTATCATGCAACAACTTCCTTTAGATTGAGGTTTGATTAAAGCGATGAAAAACAATAGGTATGACAAAATCTGAACTTGATATCTTGTCTTTTCGGACATACATCTGTTTCTTGGTCCGAAAAAAAAGTCGACCAGTCAGATTCCGATCGTTTTGTTCCGCCGCTTTGCTGTTTTGCCGTTTACTATGTCTTCTCGTCTTCTTTTGTAACGTTTTTATTTCTTTGCTACGAAAAGGACTGTGTATTTCATGCCCCGCATTTAGACGTATATTGTAGTGGTCACATTTGGTAAATGACAAATGAACTGATACATCATTTCGGTTGCTACTTTCTTTATCCAAGGGCTTGAAGTGAAAACAACAGGTATATATCCTCTAGTTAGATTTGGCGTTACATTTGTATTTTTCTCGCTATGCCTGCGACTGGTAATCGAAACACCCATTTGAATGCTCTGGTCAAATGGATTGTGTATGATGCATTGTTTGGTTCAATTTTGCCATTCTTTAATTTGAAGGACTCTGCGGACGCTTACGCAGGTGAACGGCAAACATACAAATGCTACCCTTCAAGCTACTCGTTGCTGCCGCGGGTATCATGCCGTTCTTGTCATCTAAAGAAGCAATGGGGCAGAATTTTTGTATCCACGGTATCAATTATAGCCCGCGCATCGGACCAGACTGCGCTCCTGTGTATCAGCGTTGCAAAAGCCCTACAAGTATTCAGAACGACATGGAAACACTAGTTCAAAGTCACAGATTCTATTCGCCTGTTTGGATTAGGAGATCGCGCCCAAAGCTCGACTGTGGTGCCTGTAGCGATCAATGCCGGGCTGAGTGTCTCTCTAGGCTTCTGGGTGAGTGATGAAGACTCAGTCTTTGAGTCTGAATTTTCGATGCTGAACACACTCCTTCAGCAGAAAAAAGATTTTTTCACGAATGGAAGCATTGTCGACATTCATGTTGGTAGCGAAGCAATATATCGAGAAGATGTCACAGCTGCACAGAATATTGCGTATCTTCAGCGTGTTAAGTCTTTATTTAAAACTTATAGCCTGAACGTGCCCGTTACTATCGCCGAGATTGGTGATATCTACCTCACACACCCAGAAATCATTGATGATGTGGACTTTGTACAGGCCAATGAATTTCCGTTTGGGAAAAAAATTGCCGTCGAAGACGCCGTCGCGTATTTTGAATCAAGAATGGAGCCATTATTTAATAGCGAAATAGCTCGGGACAAGAAAATGGTGATCGGAGAGACCGGGTGGGCGTCAAATGGATCGAGTCTTAAGGTGTCTGATGCCTTACTGTAAAACGCCGCTCGTTACTTTCACGACTTTTATTGAATGGCCAAGCAAAAGGAGCTTGAGTTCTACTATTTTGAGGCTTTTGATGAGAAGTGGAAGGCGGACGTGAGCATTGACAGTGTTGAGGGACATTTTGGGCTTTTCTGTGGGAATCGGACGGTGAAGGCGGACGTGGGCATTGACAGTGTTGAGGGGCATTTTGAGCTTTTCTGTGGAGATCAGACGGTAAAGTTGAAATTGCTAAACTTGCGCTTGGCTTAAATTGCGTAATCGGTAGCAGCAGTCCACTTCAACTCGACAAAGAAGAGGCGACAACGACAGCACCGGCAAATAGTGACAGACACTTCAGTAAATCAAAAGTACACTTTGTTGAACATTAATATACCAGAAATCATAAGATGGTCGACCCGTTAGTCTCTTGCTTGTTATAAAAACTTTGGAGGCAAGATTATGCCTTCAAACAAGAAATTGAAAACTCAATATCTTGTGTTTCTGGGCATTGATAACCAACTAAATATCTGAGAAGAGTTGATAATGTTTCGTCCAGCCTTAGTTTGATCAGAAGACCGGGCTTCTGTGCTAGGTCAGATATGTCATTAACGGGGCTATTAGTCTAGAGCCTCAACAACTAGCCCTTTAAATCCCGGTGGTAAGGATTTCAAGCTTTGGATTTTCACTTACGGAGGAAAAATACAGCTCTTCATTTTGGAATGAGTAATGTTTTTGCATCGCCTACGAATATGACACCTAATTGATCGGTAGTGCTTACAGCGTAAGCCCGACAAATCCCTACACCGGAGTATTTTTCGCATCCTAGCTAAAGAATCTGCCAACAAATTTAACTCAAGGCTTCCTTCCTTGTAAGTTAACCCTTAACCCTGAAGTATCATGTAAAATTCTAGCTGGATTTTCTATATGTCTCTCATGTATAGTTGTCGTTCAGCCATGTGACTAGGAGCTCTAAACGCTGATCAAGAAAGCTTAAGAAGAAATTTGGTGGTGTTAGAAATGCAGAAAGCATTTTACGCTATCTTATAAAAAGCAAACAGGTAATTCAGCAATTTTACGCTACTGTTTAAGTCTAGTGGCGGCAAGGGCATTTAAGAATGACTTATAAAATAAAAATCAATTGCTGCAACCTGCTGCATTATTGAATACATGGGGACTGTTTTCATCAAACTACCCAATATAAGAATCAGCAATCTCCGCATGTTGTAGCAGCTCTACATCATTCAAAGGACTTTGGCCCGCCACGGTTTACAGTCACCCGGCCCCGACAGTCCTCACACATGAGACCGTGACACTCAGTCGCTTTACTCGTTTCCACTGGGCCTGGAACAGGAGCCAGTGGCTTACGGGCGTTCCAACAAACGACACTCGCGACAAATCATCGCTCATCCTGTATACATTGAATAGACCAGGATATTCGATCGTCATTTACCTTCTCAGGCAAAATTACGGCTTCCTTCCACTTCTGCATCTCGATCTTCGTTTAAGACACAGGGAAAAACGTCGCTTAACAACCTAGACAACTGATCGAAGCTATCGTGGCTTTTCGTCTGCGGCGAAAAGCTTATGTTTTTGCTTATTAGCAGAAGTGGTTTAATGGCTCAGCAAATCCTCATTCATAGAAAAGTAAGTAACACAAAAAGTTAGTGACTTCCAATTGATTCATAGCTCATGATGTTTCAGCCACAACAAACCCAGGACAAGACAAATATTTCACGATGTCGACGACCTCAAAATTTGCAAAAGGCTCAATTGACTAATTGACATATTCATTCACAGGAGGCTAAAAATCGTATCGGTACTCGTTAGTTTCAAATGCTTATGCAAGCTGTCTACAGTATTTACAGCAACACGTTTAACGTAATCGCATGATACCTCAAGATTTTCTTAGACATCGACAATACTAGTCAATCCGATGCTGGTACCCACCAAAATTGAGCTGCGAACAGCAACTCAATACGACCCTGGGTTGGGAGCCTGGCGTTCGTACTACTCAGCCGAAAGAAAAATGGGTATGCAGGGTGCGAATAGTTAAAAGCGACGCATATGTAATACTTATGAGTACCACTATGCTGGTCGGTAGCTTAAAGACACACTTCTTTTGCATGGCTGAGGTCCATTGCCTCGCCATTTAAACGCTCGTAAAGATGTCATCTTCCGTACTCCACCCGGCTACCTCACGGCACGGAATATTATTTCGCATTTAATATGACACCGGCCGTATCTTTGAAAGAGATAGGATGTCTCGGTGCTAGGTCCACATATTCGGAGACCGCTCAAGAGGATCGTATTTCTTTTCTCCTCCGGGAAAGGGTTAGACATTATCGTGGAAATGTGATTTTGTCACTTCTAAGACATAGAGTCCAATTTTTCACCTTTCTTGACAGGCAACCAAGAACAGTTAGCAGATATCTGTTGCTGAAACATTTTTAAATGCTCATTAATGTATGGTGGAAGCATCTACCAGCAAAGTTGAACTTGACACGCATCCGCTCTTCATTTTTCGTAAGTATAGAAGACGCACTTTATCTTTATATTCAATTTATGATCGATCACTAGGAGCCATTAGCCTACATTACTGAAGTCCCTGTCGTGGAGCTAATAGAAGTGTATTGATAGATGTTGCTTTGCTTGTATGTGGCCTTTTAAAATATGTGCGTCGACACCGGATAAGACAACATAATGGCCATCCAATAGAACTAATCCTGAGAAATTGATTGCAACTCATGATGTAACAGACCAAGTTGGACAGGATACGTTGCCATAGTTGTGCAGACAAGGGCTGTCGCGTAAATAGTTTGCTAAATGGTCCTTCGTCTCGGCCATAGGGACTGGCAAAAGCTGTACACGGGTGCGTAGTTTGTACACATGCATAGCAGTCCTAATTGATCAACACTGATCACTGTGTGGCATACCAACAAATATGCTATAAGAACTATTGCAACTCGAAGTGTGCTAAGTGATCGTAACGGGTAAACTATTTAACCGGCTTTGCAGTCTCGCATTTTTGTTCAGAACATTGATATAGTACTCGTCAATAACCAGTCAATGCTGAAATGATGCAGTTTTTATGCGTTGAAAAGACGACGAAGCATTAACAATAACATCAGCTAATAACTATTTGTCGCTACAGCGATCTCGCATAAAGGTGAAACATTCAATTTGTTATTCAGTGTGGTATGCAATATACCGTTATTACGTGTGTGGTCAGTGGTATCGCTGTTGTAACGGGTTACAAATACCCTGGAAACAGGGGTTTGTTTCACACCAGATGGGCATGATGTGACCACACCCTAACAAGAATACGGTACGGGGCTGGATAGCCAGTAGCTATACATGTATTTAGACTTTACTATACATTCTATGCATTTAAAATTAGGCGGCTTTGCCGCAGATAAAGTCAGTTTTGGATTTGAACGGAAGAGTTAATTAGTTAGCCTTGGGCTAAGGTTGTAACTACTCTTTGAGTATGCGGATTGCGATCCGCCAAACTCGTACTTGTTCTAAGTATAGAACGAAAGGTCGGTGAACTAACTTACGCTTCCTCTAAGCGCAAAGCTACGGCAGCCCCGCTGCAGCTATAGTGATCGAAAGTACATCACGTGTGACTGTCGTATTGTAGAAATTATCTGAAATGACATTTGTATGACAATCATTGTATCCCCTGCTGCGTAGATAGATCAAAATAAGCTTCCACCATCTAGTTGGCATCAAGCATTGTATGCTTCCAAGTCTCGTTAAACACTGCAAAAAGTCGAATCAAGACTTTTTTGATCGAGTGCGTAGATGTCACAAAGAATCTGGCGACGATCACGACTAACGCAGGATCGGCATCGGCGTTTGTGCCATCAAATTTTTCAGCCATTCTAACCCACAATCACCTTTGAAATGCATGTAAACGCAGTCTTCACAAGCACCAAGAAGCAATTGTAAACGACGCTGGAAGCTCCAGCAATGCTCACTTCCTCCCAAAAAAAAAAATTGCTGGCCGACACGCAGTTTACAGCTTCAAACAAATCCGGGTTAGTTAAGTACGTGTCGTCATTATCAGCAATAGTGAGTGGAAATTAGCTGCGTTTAAGTTGGCTTATAAACCTCGCGGATCTCCTCCATATTGTGATGACAACGGCATCCGTCACATCGCCACGGTATACAGCGTTACTGTCCACATGGTTCCTAGTAATGTGGTCATCTTGGACGATTCTCGTCCCCAACATCTGAGATGATATTTCCGCTGCCTTGAAGCTGGATGTGGAAGCGTCCACAACATATGCGCGACTCAGTTTCCAGCCCAGCTCTGATGACAACATATGACACCACCGGCCCCGGTTGCATTCAATCAGAGAGTAAAAATGATGACGCCCTTCATAAGTATGCTAGTTATTTTTCTGCGCTTCATCCGTGACCCAATCACTTAAAAGTGCTGGTATTAGCGAAGCCGAAGGCTTGGGCTGTGATTGTCAGAAATGAGGTAACAAGACATACAACATTCGTTGAAAAGCTTGGGATGTTCAAACTCGAATCGGGAAGAAAGAAAATCGATGAGCGACTGCCAGACTTTGCGGCTAAGGAAACGTAACCCATAAGCTATCATTTTATTAGATGGCAATTATGATACTTTCAGAGGCAATCGGGTGAGTCACTCGAGTAAAGCTAAGTAATTAGAAAGTGATTTGCCGACAAACAAACTAGAACCTCAGCCTATCATGCAAGCGAGTCCAGACTTTAGTTCTCAGCGACACAATGTATGACAATTTTTTCAAAACAACCATTTGGGTGTTAAGTTAACGAGTGATGTATTCACAGTAAGGCACTCCAATAGAGGTTTAGTCTCAATGCTTCCCGTCGACTTGACGATTGGTCGTTCCGAGTGGCTCGCAAGTCTCGATGAAGTGTAGTGTCAGGTGAGCTTTCGTTTGGATGTCGGCCAGTTGTTCCTTTGATGGTACGTAAGTTGATTTTTGGTGTTGTCATTCTCTACATTATCACGAACCAAGAGTGCTTGGGTCGAATCGTGCATGCTTGTATTAATTGATTCGCGATTGCACTTTAAGCGTAAACGCCGGTCCTAAACAAAATGTTCCAAAGAACAGCCTGGACAGCTGCACATTGTTCGGAGCCTTCGCTTTGTTTGATGAATATTAGCAACCCTTTCTTTCAAAGAGCGATATTTCTCTCTCCGCGGTAAGCTCTAAAAAATATTGTGAGAGTAGCTGTCGTTCCACAGAGACTGTCTTCTTCGTTGAAGATGATTTCTAAACCTATTAATGATTTCGACAGCACCCAGCACGCTAATTAAGCGCAATACGCTGCTGCACTTTTGCCTGCATTCCCTACACAAGAAACGGTCCAAAGGAGAAAACCGATCTTCACGTTCGTTGCTGCTTCATGAGCAGGAAGTACTTTGAAGTAAAGGTTTGCTAAGGGTCAGATTGCGCTGCTTTTGCTCTTTTTGAGCAATGACGTGTAATGACTCAGCCTGGGCGCGGCAAAAAAACAATGATAACATAAACGCAGAAAACATGATATGTGTGCTTGATCCATCGCGACTATTGATCTTGTATGCTAACAAGCTCGGCTTGGTGAGCTTCGCCCAGCTCACTGGCGTCGAACTGGACGTCCTTGCATGTTTCGCGGCGTAATACTTAAAAAAATGAATCTAGAGAAATGGCTATCGAGATTGCAGCGAGAGGTAGAGCGAGAGAGCGTCATTTTTCAGCGACTGGCTTTTTTGCACGTCTCTCAGGGAGATCGAGATGCGTATGGGACTGGGAGAATCACCAAGACCGTTGTCATCGGAAAATACCTCTCCTTTCCGAAATTAATTGATATCGCCCACCGCGAGGAGGCGCTCGCTATGCCATAGTCCACGCGAGAGTGAAATCTCTCGATGCGGACTGTTCTCGTAAAGGCAAGCACCCTAAAAACCATAATAAATTTCTAAGGCAGTGGGGGTTCACTATTGCGCATATTCAAAACGAAAAATCATTTGTGAATTTCAGTGTGTAATGCATCTTAGACCAGGAAAGCATTTAACGGTGTACGTAACGTCTTATGGCGTACGTATAGCAACACTTGCGTAATTGCGGGCTATTGCGGAAATATCAGGAATAAGACTCCGTAAAGGAGAGGTTAACTGAATCGTAAATTATAACAATACTACCAAATTTGTGTTGCAGTCTAAAATTCAAGTGACAATTTGGTGACTCTGAGCCCTCTGATCGAGTCTGAGTCTATGGAGTTCTCTGAGTCTGCGCGGTAAGCCACATTTGCAGCGTTCGTAGTCACTGCTATTTTATAAGTGGCGCTACTATGGCAAAGCTTCGACATTTCTAACTTTCATCTCTCGTTGCTTTCTCTATGTATTTCCACTCACCTTGAAAGCGCTTTGTCGGACGTCACGTTATCTTCGTCGCTCTCACCTTCCGTTTCTTCATTGATGCTTCCAGGCTCAACCCGCCCCGATTATCGCGGTAAATGTCTTTACAAAACCGGCAAATGCGTAAATGAGCGCGCGCTGAAGACATCGGGAGCAGCTCACAACCTTTGCGACGAGCATCGCAATCGACAGAACCAGCACCAGCGCAAACTCGACGCCAAGAATCGAGTAATTAAGCGAGAACGAGGAGTGTTACCTAGAGAAGCCAAAACTGAGCGCTTTGCACCGTATCCTGTGGTACTTAAATACCAACCACCTTTTACTTTAGCTGAAGAAGCCGAATCGGTACCTCTACCTGCCGTTGCATCGTCGACGGCAAAGACCGTTTGTACCTTTAAAGATGAAAAGGTCATGGCTCTGATGTCGGAAATGCGAGCAATAGCCACGACTCCAATGAACACAGGTGTCATGGTTCTGCCGGATGGACCTCAGCCTCCTCTTATGGACTTCTCATTCGTTATTGAAGATTTTGACGGCATTGTCGTCCCGTTGCCGTCTTTCCTCAAAGGGCAAGAACGCAATGAATTTCGCTCTCGAGTCTACCAAAAAGTTTTGGACTTTATTTCTGAGGAGTGCATTTTACGTTCTGGAGAAAAGGTTGCGATTGAGACTACTAGTGTAGCAGAAACGAAACGTTCCGTTAGAACAGGCACCGGTCGAACCCAGACCGAGCATAGCGTGAGCATCGGAAGTGCAGATAACGAATACGCAGATGCAAAGGCTTCAAAAATTCAGGAGAGCTGAGCTCTGCAGCTGATGAGTCAAGGAGTAGCAGAAATAAAAATCAGGTCCAATGCTTATGTCAAATGACTAGCTTGCAGTCGCATTGTTATTTGTCAAGTATAAGCGGTTTGATGAAAGCAAAAGTATTCAGTGGGTTGAGCACTCGAGCAATCATTTTAATTTAATGAATAAATTGCATTTTTTAACAGTTTGAGAACTTTAAAGTGCCAGTAAAGCAAAGCGCTGGCACAATGACAAGCATGCGACAATCATTTGGTGATAAGTGAATGCCGGTCATACTTCATCTATCGAGAGTCTATGTTCGTCTGGCTTCCTCTACGAACATATACTCCAGGTCGAATAACATAAAAGACCATCATAATAACGCGACAGATACTACAAACGAAGTACACATGTAGGACAGAAAATCTACAACTTATATCTCGACTTCACGCTTGCCTTCTCGTACCTGACTGTCATCCAAACTGTCCACACTACTAAAAGAATATTTTTCGTCATTGTATGACATTTCGCTGTCACAATCACTTTCGCCGCGACCGCGCAATTGCTCGCCGTACTCTGAATCGGTAATGGAGTCAGCAACTGATAATCGACTGTCAATGCCCAACCTCAACTGTGGTGGTCGGCTTATACCCTGCAACGACTCGAACGAGTACTTGCCGCTATCTAGGTCACTGATGGTACCACTGAAGCTTATACCACTCATTTCACCTAAGTGACTATGGCCGGCATCGTCGTATTGCATTTCTTGTTTCGTTCGCAAATACTCGCCAAATACATTTGACGTAGATGAGCAACGGGAAGAAACATCTTGCTGCACGTACTCGCTCACATGCGAAAAGCCTCCTACACCTCCATTACTCTCTTTATTGCTGCATCGCCCATTCTTGAGCGATCTACGCGCACTTCCACCTAATACTGCTGGTGACTGGGATGAATCGGCTAAAATGCCGTCAAAACTAGTGCGAGCTCTGCCAATGGGTACGTGGGAAGAAGGATCTAACCGATCATGTCTTGATCCCTTGCTGTAACGACCGTAGCCAGAATTGATACCGGAGACGTAGTTGACTTTACTCGTATCCAAAATGTTATTGTACGGACCAGAAGAACTATCATCACGTTTGGATACGCCGCGCATTCGCTTGTCCACCGCATTTTGTACGCCGCCAAAGGTACTGCTTTCGTCAGGATGACGTTTATTCTTGCGTTTTCGAAGACAGAGGAAAGCAACGGTACCAAAAATTAGCATAGCGCCAAACCCAATAGCTCCGTACAGAATCAGGTCGTAGCTTGATCCGCCAAAAATGCTAGAGCTTGAGGTATCGGCACGAAGATCTGAGGAGGAGGAAGAAGAATCTGTTGAGCCCGTCGAGTTTGTTGAGGAAGATGGGGTAGCGAGTATTGCGCTACCGATTTCGCTGGACGTTGTAGAGCTCCATGATGCCGCTGTTGCATTGGTGGATGTTAGATACATAAAAACAAGTGCGAAGGAATATTCCACGTACAGCAGTCATAGCGTACGCCTGTGAAGGGGCATGTGTTGGTCAAGTTGTCTTTCTCCCAGCATGTATAGGTGTTGTCGAGCGCGTAAATACACGGTGGGCATCCACCCGAAGCAGTATCGCACGTGATACTTCCGTCTCTAAGACATGATGTGATGGAAGTACAGAACTCATTTATATCTGTGGCCGTTGCCAGACCGATTAGAGCCACTGTCGCTAGAACCCGGAACGCCCGTTGTATAGCAAACATGGCTTTTGCTCTACTTTAATTTTTGCTTATGCCAGTGGCTAAGCCAGCTTGAACCTCAGTGGTAGAGATATCAGGCCAGATGTTGCGACGGCACTCTGCACTGTCACCTTATGTTTTCGTTTCAAAGCAATACTGAAGCAAGACATAACTAATGAAATCAGAGGATAAGAAGGGTGACAGTGGACACCTTAGTATGCACGATGTGCATTCGTTTAATCTATGAGTTTGGTGACTATTGTTACTTTACTTAATATAATCACTGGTTCATAGTGATACTTATGCCGTAACCTGGCGATAACGTCCATGTATGTATGTTTCGCAGTACAGAATGTAGCTACTACAGTAATAGTAGGGCGGATGTATGTAATTCAAGGTGTTCTCTAAAGACGCACAAGTCGGTTTTTTGTAGCAAATGACAAAAACCAAAAGTAGTTATGTCGAACGAAGACTGGACAAGTCAACTAATCGACAGTCACGCACTTTCAAAGCATGTCGGCCTAGCACAAAGCTGACTCCTTCCCAAATATATCTGCAATATGTACACAAGACAGTCGATCTATACTGAAGTTTAGCGGTACATGATCGCCCCCCGAGACATCAGCAACATTGATTCTCTACTCACAGTAAAAGTTGAAAGTTCAGCACAGTAAAATATGCACTTAGTGATTGTTTGCATGGCTTGGCGAAATGCAAAAGCGTGTATAACAGCAAGGATGGGACAAAGATTATTGCGGTGAGTAAAAGGGCGGGCAAGACACGTCTGCTAGCTGAACATTAGCACATTATAGATGGTGAACATGAAAAAATATGCGCTGGTATCGAGTATAGAATTTAGCTGTGCCTTGTTAGTCCTGACAATAGATGGGTCGCCTGTCGCCATCATGTCGTTCGCCGCCACTTTCATTGGTAAAAATGAGGATTCCCGCAATACTGGTAAGCGTTCTGCTGAATATCGGGCTGTCGATGACCCCAGCTTACAATGTGCTTTAAGTTGCTATCATCACTGTCGGCCTCAACTTCAAGTCATGCTTCACATGACATGTTTGAATGACTAGAAGCAGAGGAACATACAAACATACAAACATGACACTGATGTTTCATCGAATAGGCCTTCCACGTGGTCATCCCGTAAAACCCTTTCACTGAAATCAAGAGAAAAGCTTCCGGGGCAAACAGGACACATTTCATTAAAACTTTATAAAGGCATGTTACTGTTTGTGGAGTTGACTCACCAGCCCACCAAAATAAAAAAATTGCCAACCGCAAGTTGCGTCTGTTGCAATAATGCAAATACGTGATGCTACGTCCACTAAATTAGCATAAAACTGTCGTCTGCGACACAAGCAATCGATTTTTACCAAAGCGCATATAGATAGTCCATACTTGCTGGGCAGCGTCACAATGACTGTGGCAGAAAACCCATAGTATGGCGTAATGATAGAGTGTAATTAATTCATTTATCTGCTAAGCCACTCACTATTAATAACTTTTGAGGCGTCGCAGCTCTACCGGTGGACTTGCGCTTTGCATTACTTAGAATATGTGCAGTTGTCAATTTCGCTGTAGCTACTGGGCAGTGCAGCCGGATGCAATCAGAACAATGAGTTAAAGTATCTACTTCGTAGCAATCTGAAGCATTTTCAGCATAATGTTGGCCTCATTGTAAGCTTGCTGTCTCTTCTTTCGTTGGATTCAATGTAATTCTGCTTGCCGTTACTATTACACAATTTGTACTGCAATCTATCCAAAAAAATATATTCAGAATTGTTGCTAGTAATTAACAACATTAGCAGACCTGACCTGTATGTACAAACTCCCGCTTTTCTAGCCAGAATCAATTGTATATTGAACTCTTGAACTATCTGTCTGCGACCCTCGATGTCTGCAGCGGGGCTGCCGTAGTTCTTTCGCTTAGAGGAAGCTTAGTTGAGGTCACCGACCTTCGTTCTATACTAAAACCAGTACGAGTGTAGCAGATTGCAATCCGCTTACTTCAACAGTAAGCACAACCTTATCCCAAGGCAAAAAAAACTCTTCCGTTTAAAATATAAACTGTATTTCTTTTGTTTTATTGATTAGCTAGTAAAACCTAATTAAATGCATGACTACTGGCAGTCCAGCCACGTAGTAGCTTTTTGTCTAGGTGTAGCCACAGCATTGTAAAATCACACCATATTGTGTGACTCACTCCTTCATACCAGTATACGTGTAACCCCGTTACACTCTCCTCATAAAATTGTGAACGCCCGCAATTCACATTTTACTGTCGCCTCGTGCGGGGCTCACGTGTCTATGACACCTCTACGTCCCCAAGACGGTTTTCATGCATTCTCTAATCAATTGGCCCTGTGTCAATGACACGAATAACGCCCAGCGTCGCTGCTTCCGAGAGCGCCCGTGGACAGAGCCCGTCTTCGTCTCCTGCACGTGGTGCAACTTCGCACAGCACGTCTGCGGCTTTAAGGGAAGCACATTACAAGCACATTACAAGCCGTCACCAACCGAGCACCGCGCCCGCCACAGGCGACGAATTTTCTCATCGAGGATTCGGAAGAAGTTAAGTACGAGTCGGATACTCCTTTCCCAGAATGGGAAGAGGGGGAGAGAGAGGTGCGTCAGCGGCGCGACGTAAGCCCTGCTCGAACCTTGCGGGCACCGTGTCGTTTCCTGAACTTCCGACTTCCGGGGGAGTGGTATCATCACCGATCGCCTCGACAAGGCACAGGAGCAGCAGCTGGAGACAACCCGCAGGGCGGCTTTGCGCACGCATTCACGGCCGGTTCTGGACCCTTGTGTGGAATACGGGTCCGCTTCGTGGATCCCGCTACTGAACCGAACGACGCGATCAACCGATCACTGGGCATCTGCCTGGTCGGGCCGCCGCCGGCCACTACACAGCTAAGCTTGACCTATGAAAAGCTCTCCGATCTCTTCTCTTGGTACCTCAAGAAATCCCAATGGATAGGAACCGCGCTTGATTTCGCGACTATTGAGGATGCGCTGCTGTGCCCGCGATGCGGACGATTCGTGCGATCCTTACCCATGGCGAAACCGCTGTAGATGACGAAAAGCTCTTTTAGCAATGGATGCCAACTCGCTGTCAAACTTACAGCGGGCCCACAAGGAGGTGGACGTGAGCGTGGAATGCAATCTTCGGTTCAAGGTTGCCGAACTCAAGGTGCAACGCCAACTTCCAACGTTTTGTCGCCATGCGACGTATGGATTAAACCATCACGCTCCCGCAAGCTCTGTGGTCTCTGCCCTTCAATTACAGCAGCTTAGGGGCATGGCATAAGCTCAGCACACGGCCCCTCGGCTTCCCTGGCTATTGCCGAGATGCTCGGGGCGTCCGACGATGCGGAACGTCATGATCCCTCCGACCATAAGCGTCCACGACGTCTGGGCAGTGTTTCCATAGCGGCACCTTAAGTTCCACGAATTTCTCGAAATATGGGTATCCCCGCCACTTCACAAGATACTGGATTTGACCCTGTCGACGACATCGACCCATAAAGCGTTTCGTGTGACAGTGGACGCCACCTTTATCGTCGAAAAGATTCGGCGGCGGACGATGACGGCTTGGTCGATCGCCGTCCGGTGACTCGCGATGCTCCTCGAGCTCTTGAGGCCAAGGTCTGTCGCCATCGGGGCTCCGCTGAGTATCATGCTGGGGTCGCATCCCGCTATGCGGAAGACCTCGAGAGCTAATAGCACTTTGTGCACCGTCGGTCTCACGCTGAGGACTATTGCGCTTTGTCGGAGCAGCTCCTAGCCGTCGAGAAGACAAATGTGTCCCTTCGTGCGACAGTAAGCGCCTGGCGTACTTGGAGACGGAGATCGTTGCACTCCGTGCTCAATAACAGCTGCTGGTTCAGCTTCTGGATGGTTGAGCACCTGTGGGCGCCGCTTGGGCACGACATTGAACGTCCGATAAACCGTGGGCAGAGCTTGGTTTCATAAGCAGCAGGAACTGCATGTGTAGGAAGGATTTAATAAAACCATGTCTCCGACCTCACTGTTTAAACTTTCTCATTCCTTTTCCGACTGCATATTCTTTCTGTATGTCTTGGCTTTCAGCCATCGCATCGCGAATGTGTCGTAAGGCACTCAATCTGGTAAACAGGATGTCATTGACTTTCTTATGCACAGTGAGTGGACTGACATCAGCTAGCCGCTCGGCTATTCCTCTTCTACCAAAATCTAAGTCATGTGATGGCGGCATCAGCATGACGAGAGGATGAACGAGCCCATTAACGTGGATCTGCGTGGAGGTGGTGGATGAATGCACTGCATTGTTCAGAGCCAACTCAACAAGTGGCAGCATGGCGCTTTAGCGCCTCGGCGTCTCAGCGCAGACGCTGCGAAGGACGTCCTCGACGACGCGACTCAGAAGCTCGGTTTGACTATCAGTCTGTGGATTCTCCGCTGTTCACATAGTCAACTTGGCGCCGAGCACCTTGATGATCGTCGACCAAAATGCCCAGTGAAGCGCGGGTTTCTGTCAGATGCAAACGAGTCCGGGAGTCCATGCTGTCGAAAGACACGTTCCACAAACAGCGTCGCTGTACCGACACCATCGATGGTGTCCGGCACCGTCGCAAGATGAGCCATCTCTCTCAAACGGTCACCCGTGTTGCTTGCCGAGTCCTTCAGCAGGCCAAACACAAAGTCCATACCTATGGACTTCCATTTCCGAAGGATACCGGTTATCTAGCCAGCGACGCCGCCACATTCAGAGATAGTTTGACTATTTGACTCGTTTCACACGTACTCGTTTACTTGTACAGCTTGGGACACCAATAGTCGTAACTCACGGAGCTGTACGTCATCTTACGACCGGTATGACTACTGAGGGGGTTGTCCTGGCCGTATAGAGGATACGGTACTTTGAATCTTCATCGTAAGGAACCTCAATTTCTGGCATATCTGTCGAATCGGTGCTGTAATGCAGCTCAACGAATGTCGGTGTAACCGTGCGCGCGATCACAACGACAATTTCT